TTTATTTTCTTCCGTGCAGACTTTCAGGGTTCTCCTTCCAGTTTAGCTAGCATATTTGTGGTCCTTTATGAGTTGCATAATGTTAATATGCATTGTGTTTCTTCACTGTTGCAATTATGGCATCACAGAGCAAACACATCAGTTTATCTTTCACAGCAACTATGTAATACTGCAATTTCCATTTTTCATTGAATGCTCTGTTCTCCTCCTTTAATGTTCTTTTTGTTTTTGACATGACTGGGGTACCAGTAAAAAAAATTTAAAAATGATACACAGATTTAAAACGGCGGATTTAGTATTTGTGGACAAGTAGGCAGAAGGCCACAACTAGTACCCCAAAAGGCCGCAGGTTCCCCACTCCTGACCAAGGCCATACTTAGAATGGAGGTGTTCAGTGAAATAGTCACTAACTAATTTGATGTAGAGAATTTGCTGTGAATGCAATGTCTTTGGATAAATGTGATATTGTGATGGGAAGATTTTCCGAGCTAGAGTTGCATCTTCTGCAGTTTTGTCAAAGATGTCAGGTAGCTGAAAGTAAGAATAAAGTAAAATTTGCTTGACTTTGGAAAGGAGATGGGGGGGTAAGCCCAAGAAAGGAATGGATCGGTAGAAGGAACAAGAAGGACTGTAAAGTTGGACACTTTCTTTAGTTCTTTACATTTCTGCCCTTATATTCTACGTTTTGGTTAATTTTTCTGTATTTTAAGATGGCACCAGACAGTGGCAACATGATACAACACTTTTCATTGTTTGTAACAAGATACATGTGGTGATAAATAAATAAATCAAATCAATGTAGAATAAAATGGAACGATAGTGGGAAGGGGCACCAGTGCAGTCATCAGTATAACTAAGGAAGAGATTAGAGTTGTCACCTTAATAATTCTTGGGGGTGGAGGCTGCATGCCTAAGTTTGGGAGAAGAGAATATTCTACATATCCTGCAAAAAAAAGAGAACGTGGTGATGTGATGTGAGTCTCCTCAGCAACTATTTAGAGGAATTGGGTGGAGTTAAGAAATGCTTATCCCAGTAGGGAGAAATTGTGGTAATTGGAGGGCTTGAAGACCATTCTGGAGAGGGATGGATTGTGTAATGGTTGGGTATCGTTGTGAAAAGATAAATGGAGGCCAGAAATCCATGTATTGTTCAGGTGGGTGAGGGAATTAAAGGGTTCATGCATTTGGTGAGACAAGATAATGAGTCATTTTAGTGGAACAAAATAAAATTGATTGTGCTAAGATAGTCAAGGTTTTAAATATAAAATACAAGATAAAAGTGACTGAAACCGAGAATTTATTTTTTGAAGAATTAAGACCGAGAAAGGTTACAGATTGGGGCTGTTTAATTAATCATGTCGGCTACATGAACTAGCCACCCATTCAAAACCCACTTACCAGCACCTGGTTCATAGCCTTGCAGGTTACAGCTCTTCAGGTGCAAGATCATTTTAACTAAGTTGAGGGTTTTCGCTTCAACCACCAAACTATCATTTCCTCTTGCCCCCTCCACCCCTTCCACCAATTCTGTGCCCTGGTAACTGACCTGTCTGCAAGGGGCCACAGGTCTTCCCTGTCTACTTTATCCAAGCTTCCCATTATTTTGTACACCCCATTTAAGTTGCCTCTCAGCTTCTGCTGTTCTGTTGAATTTTTCCTCCGACCTGTAATATTCCAGAACTGGCAACATTTTTGTAAGTCTGTTCTGGATTCTCTCCAAAGCAATTATGTCAGTCTTGTAATGCGGTAACAGCTGTGCATGCATTTCCAGCTGTGACCTCATCAATATGTTCAATAGTTCCAGAGTTTACATGCCTGCTCTCATTCAATACCTCACCTGATGAAGAAAAGCATCCCATATTCCTTCTTCACTACGTTATCCACCTGTCTTGCCACCTACAGAGACCTGGAGACGTGTACTCTAAGGTCACAAACTCCATTCACTTCTCATAAAGTCATAGTGTACAGCATGGACGTAGACCCTTCAGTCCAACTTGTCCATGCTGACTAGATATCCTAAATTAATCTAGTGCCATTTGCCAGCATTTGGCCCATATCCCTCCAAACCCTTCATATTTACGTACCTGTCCAGATGCCTTTTAAATGTTGTATTTGTACCAACCTTCACTTCCTCAGGCAGCTTATTCCATACCATACGCACTACCCTCTGCGTGGAAAAGTTGCCCGTTGGGTCCCTTTTACATCTTTCCCCTCTCACCTTAAGCCTATGCCCTCTGTTTTGGACCCCCCCACCCCTGAGGAAATGACCTTGGCTATTCACCCTCCCACGACCCTCATGATTTTATAAACTTCTATAAGGTCACCCCTCAGCCTCTGACGCTCCAGGGAAAATAGCCCCAGCCTATTCAGCCTCTCCCTATAGCTCAAACCCTCCAACCCTGGCAATACCCTTGTAAATCTTTTCTCAACCCTTTCTAGTTTCACAACATCCTTCCTTTGGCGGGGACACCAGAACTGTATGCAGTATTCCAAAAGTGGCCAAACCAATGTACTGTGCAGCCTCAACACGACCTCCCAACTCCTATACTTAATGCACTGACCAATAAAGGCAAGCCTATCAACTGATGCCTTCACTACACTGTCTGCCTGCGACCATCTTTCAAGGAACAATGAACCTGCACTCCAAGGTGTTTTTCTCCAGCAGCACTCCCCAGGACCTTACCATTAAGTGTATAAGTCCTACCCTGATCTTGCCTTTCCAAAATGCAGCACCTCACATTTATTTAAATTAAACTCCATCTGCCACTCCTTGGCCCATCTAATCAAGGTCCCATTTTCTTGGAAGTAACCTTTGCTGCCCACCAAACCACCAATTTTGGTGTCATCTGCAAACTTACTAATCGTTCCTCCTATATTCACATCCAAATCATTTATATAAACGACAAAAACCAGTGGACCCAGCACCGATCCTTGTGGCACACTGCAGTTCGCAGGCCTCCAATTTGAAAAGCAACCTTCCACCACCACCATCTGTCTTCTGCCTTCAAGCCCATTCTATATCCAATGGCTAGTTCTCCCTATATTACATATGATCTAACCTTGCTAACCAGTCTACCATACGGAACCTTGTTGATTGCCTTACTGAAGCCCATATAGATCACGTCCACTGCTCTGCTTTCATCAATCCTCCTTATTACTACTTCAAAAAACTCAGTCAAGTTCATGAGGCATGATTTCCCATGTACAAAGTCATGTTGACTATCCCTAATTAGTCCTTGCAATTCTCTCAATATCCTTGCATTTATTCTGTCTTTCTCAAATCTGTAACTTGACGCTTCTGCCCATTCAACCTGTCATCAACAACCACCCACGATCAACTACCTGTCAAACTTTGTTGTTTGCACATTTTCCAATTATGTCTCCTACATTTCAAGACTAAATCATTAATATCTACCAATTTTTAGCGTTATTTTCCTCTCGAGTTGACAGTACCACCCTTTTATTGTGAGAACATGTCTGTACAGTGCTTGTCGAGTCTCACTTTTGCCTCCCATTGATTTGCCACTTATTTTCCTTCAGGTAGCTGTAGCCAGTCCCCCTTATCTCAGCTTTAAGTTTGCCTTCACCCCAATTTAAAACTTCTACCCACTTCCGCCTTTGTCCCTTTCCATCACGATGCTAAATTGAACTATTGTGATCATTATCTCCAGTGTCATCTACTGCTACTTCAACCCTCTGCTCAGCTTCTTTTCCCTCAAGCTAAATCTAGAATTCTACCATCTCGCTGGTCTCATTACATGCTGGCTTTAAAAATAAGTTTGTAATGCAGTTCGGGAATTGTGTACTCTCTGTGCCTTTCACACGAGTTGCACCCCACTGATATTTTGGTAGTTAAGATCCCCAAATATTATTGTCCTGTTTGGAACTTCCTTGAATTCCCTTATCACAATTGTCCTTTCACCCCCATCTGTGGTTCCAATGACTTAGCTGTAGCTGAATTTTCTTGAGGCATCGTTGCCCCTCACCAATATTTAAAATGGAATACTGGTTAGCAAGAACAGTAGACATGGGACTTTGCAAGGGCTGGCTAGTTCTTCTAAACTGCCTGGCAGTCTTTCCTTCCCTCATTGCCTGTACGCTTCTAACTTACTGGCGTCTTCCACAACATTTAAATCCAAATGCAGCCCAACAAGTTTAACCCTGTGCAGGTTTAAATCTGTGAATCTGGCCCCAGTGAGACCCATGTCATACGTGCTTGTTGGACCATGAGCAAGGGACACCACTTCTACAGAGCGTCCAGTTGACTGGCAGGTCTGTGGCAGGACAATTCCTAGAGATGTGTAAATTAAAGCCGGGTGCGCTAGTTAAGTGGAGGTGGGTTCATGCTTGATATTTTACAATGGGGTGTGGAAAGCCCATCTTCAATAGGTGATGCAGACCCAGAAAGCAGCAGCTAACAATGAGTAGTGTGTTTTACAAAAATATTTGCTTAAAATTTGCTGCAAATCCATACATTTTCTTATTTATAACATAATCACAGTTGAATTGAAAAATTGAGAATATGAGAACCTGGCAAATGGAGTACTGCTTTTTAACATGGAGTGCAAAACTCAGAATGACTGACATTGTTTGACTTTTCAGCCATCCGTTTACTGAATCTCTTTCAATCATGACTCTCATGTAACCAATTAGGCCTGAAGATAAATGTTTCGTGAGCTGAGACTGTGCTGTTTTGGTTAGATGAGTTGGTCAATTCATTTGGTTTCCATGATGCTTCTTAATTTGAATTGGTTGAATAATAACTGCTGAAAAACTCTGTGTGAATGTCTCTAAGCATAGTTAGAGTACAGCTGACTCATGGGATAGTGTACACTAGTGTTTATAATGCTGTTCATCACTCCTTTAAATGATGACAGATTAGGTAGCTGTGCAATTCACTTTTTTTTTATTGTTTTCAATGTTATATTTGATTTGGATTGTATTTCTTATTCAGTTTCAAAATTTGTCAAACAGATCATTTTTTTCCCCTTGTATCTCAGATTCGATGTGGAGGTGCTCTCAGTTCCCAAGATCATCAGCCATGCAATTCAGTTCAACATCTAGAGGTGAAACTATCCTCCGCGAAGGAATCGAGATGGAAAGGAGAACAGAGTCCAGTCGTGAAGAAGGTGACAAACTTAGTGATGGAAATAACATTTCATCACGCACAACTTAATACCATTTACTCATTCAAAATAGTTTAGAGTCACAGAGTACGGGAAGATCCTTCGGTCCAACCAGTCTGTGCCAACCGTAATCCCAAACTAAACTAGTCCTGCTTGCCTGTGCTTGGCTCATATCCCTCCAAAAATTTCTTAATCATGTATTTATCCAAATGACTTTTAAACATTGTAACTGTACTTGCATCCACCACTTCCTTCGGAAGTTCATTCTGCACGAACCATGCTGTGTTTAAAACAAAAAAGTTCCCGGCAACAAACTGGTAAATCTCTTCTGAACCCTCTCCTGTTTAATTATATCCTTCCTATAACAGGGCAATAAGAACTGTACACAGTACTCCAAAAGAGCCTCAGCAAAGTCCTGTACAACCTCAACATGACATCCCAACTCCGACACTCAAGTGTTAACCTTCTTAACCACCCTGTCTACATGTGACACAAACTTCAAAGAATTACGTACTTGAACCCCTAGGTGTCTCTGTTCTACAGCACTATCCGAGGCCCTGCTTTTAATTGTATAAGTCCTGCCTTTGTTTGTTTGCAATACCATGTATTTATCCAAATTAAACTCCATCTGCCACTCCTCAGCCCATTGACCCAATTGATCAGTTATTTGAACATTTCATGGCAATCTTAAACTTGAATAAATAGTATTCAGCTTTGTTTTTAGAAGTATTTTACAATCGACGTAATGGAATGTCCATACTGTTTGTGACATTAAACTCCAGTAATTACTGAAACCTTTGAAGTAGGTAATTTAATTTTTTACTTTATAAATAGGTCTTGTGATAGCATCCCTGCACGTGAGCTTGAAGCTCTGGGTTCAGGTTCAAATCACACTCCAGGACTTTATGACCAAGGAAGGTGTGTTTGTAACGTGGCCATTTAGATTGAGTGTCAGCTTGTTAGTTGTTTCAACATACACCAATGACAGGCAGTAAGAATAGGAGAGATTCCTGGTCAGCCACGTGATGAAAGGAATTTCGACCCTGTGCCATCACTTTCCCTAGTTCCAGGCCACAACTTCATGAGTGTATGTTGCTCAAGCAACTCTGACTCCTTGAGGTGCCACTTGACAGGGCTGCTGGTGTGGATCAGTTTGGTGGCAATTTGATCTGCTTCTTTGTCTCTATTTGTATTGGAGATTGCAGCACCATGATGGGACTTGCCTTTGGGCTGGCAACTTGAGGAAAGGAAGGATCTATATAAAAATTTGTGCTTTTATTTACTTGTTGTAATATGGCATCTTACACTATAGGTAATTGTGTAACAGGAAAACTGAACTTTTAAGGTATATTTCCAATCTAAACAATTTTCATTTGTAGTGAATTTGTTCCCAGATCACTGCCAGATTGCCTGTACTTCAACAGATATTTAAAACAGAAATAAAGATTTTCGATCGAATCACTGTTAGGATTAATAGCATAGGGATTAGGGCGCCTATTTTCTGAAAGTTGTAAAATGGGAGCTTGAGGTTGAGATTTTTAACATTTGCATTCTTCACGCAAGCATTGCACCAGATCTTCATGTATGTATCACTTGCAACTTAGCAGCACATTTATTTCACCTTGGATGCCAAGTACCATCCATTAACTCATTCACATGGCTGCTGTGGTACGTGTCAGCAGCCTGCATGATGTTCCAGTCAAGCTGGATTTCCTCATGATCTGATTACATGTATGCTGGCAGTCTCAACTTATCTAATTGTAGGTGTCTGCTGGCAAATTTTAATCACCTGGTCAGCCCCACGTACAGGATCTACCAACAGCACAGATTTTAAATCAAAATTGAAGCCCTGGTCTATATGTTAAAATATTAACTTCACATCTGGACCTTCAGGAAGCACAAATTTTAAAAACAAAATATTTTATGTTGAAAGGCGAAACAGTCTTCCAGTAGTTCTTTATAAGAAAGATGTAATACTAGCTGCACTTGGGACATTTTTCTTTCCTTCTGGAATTCATTTCTGCGTTTATATTATAATAAGCTATCTAAAATAATTTCTGAATTGTAGAAGAGTCCTTTTGTTTAGGAGAATGGTAGTTTATGTGTAAAAGTAAACGCAATAAAATGCATGCTAGAATCACCTGGCAGGTGAAAAATATCCTATTGATACGAGCTGCTTTGCTACTGATGCATCTGGCATAGTAGGTCAGCTGCCAAATAAGCATTCATTCTTTTGTTATAGTGCTCAAAGCATGTTGCATGGACTACTTTAACGTATGTAGAGCTGTGTGAAAAGAGGGTTTAATTTTGAGGGTTTGCTCAATTTTTACTGTATTTCCTACTTCAGATGTTGAAAATAGAGTTTTATCCTATGCACAAGGTGCAAGGCCAAGACATCCATTGCTTGGATCTTTGAGACGTACCACGTCAAGTCTAAGTCAAGTACTCTCTTCTCCTTCGGAGAGCCGATCTGTATTCTCGAGAGACTCTAGCAGAAGTTCTTCCACGTCCTCTAATAATAGCACTGCCTTTTCAAACATTGAGGTGATACCACAAAGAAGTACAGAATGTGGTTTCATTCTTAGTAGAACAGGATCTGGAGCTTCAGAAGCAATAACCTCACAAAGGAGAAATATGTCTGTGTTGCAACCAAGACCACCAAATGACTTTGCATCAGAATCTAGCAGCAGGTGTAGACCTAGACAGCTGTTGTCCCGTCTAGCATCCAGTATGTCTTCAACTTTCTCTAGCAACCGAAGACCCAACCAAGGGCATCCAAATGGAAGGTCTTTTGAAACAACACATTCCATTGGGCATTCAGCCAACATATCATTAGGTGGAAGACCAGAAAATTTCACACAGGCTAATAGCTCTGGCAGACATGAAGCTGCTAATTTTTCAAATAATCGATCCTCTGAATCTTCTCAAGGATTTGGATTTTTAAGGTGGAGGAGACCAGGACCATCAAACATTTCACAGTCTCAAAATGCTAATGATGGTGTTGAAAATTTACCAAACTTGAGGCAAGATTATTCTGAAAATAGAAATACTGCTTCATGGTTATCATCTTCATTACGAAACAGATGCACCCCTCTCTTCAACAGAAGGAGAAGAGAAGGAAGAGATGAAACTGCAAGAATGGCTGCCACACCTAGTAATACAATAAATGAAGCCAGAGTAGACCAGCGTTCAGTCCTCCAAAGAGAATTTGGAACATTTGAAAACTCGAACAGGGAACAACCAAATGTTACCCAGGGTGCTACAGCAGCTTCTTCAGGGGCTTTGAGCTCGACTTTCTGCACTCCATCATCTGTACCGGAGAGTCCTCGAGGTCGAAGTACTTCAGGAATTGCGGGAATATTCCCTAATTCAGTCATTCGCCTTTCTATGCCATATGGCCTTGGAGATGAATTCTCTGATAATATACTAATAGCAGTTGACTTCGCAAACCATGTTGATACTCATCAAGAGAAACAGAAAACTGAAAGTGCATCTAGGGATCCAGAAAAACTCAGAAAAATACAGGAAAGGTATACTTTATGCATTTTTCTCTATAACCCTATTACCTTTAATTTTCCTTTAAACATGAGTTTGCTGATATACTGAGAAACTTTCTCTACAGTTCATTCAGATTTCCCTTGATTTGTTGGCCCACACGTTTGCTGCTTGTTCTCAAAAGGGATTTCCTTTCCTACTGGGGTGAGATATGTGCGGCATGAGATTTTTAATACAAACAAAATAGGCAGGATGCTGGAAATCTAAAATAAAAACAGAAAATGCTGGAGAAACTCAGCAGGAGTAGTATCATCTGTGGAGAGAGAAACAGCTAACGATTCAAATGCAGTATGGAGCGGAGAGAGGACTCCTGCCCAAAGAAGGGAACCGAAGGCAACAGAAGAAAAGTTGATTATCATGTTATGCCTGTAATTCAGTGAGGTGGGACATATAGGGTTAAAACAAAGACCTTTGCTTAGGACAGATCATTTAGCAGATCTCTCTCTGCAAATGCTGCCATACCTGTTGATTTTTCTCCAGTGTTTTTTGTTGTTGTTATTATGAGTCTTTTGATATGATGTTTGCAGAGAAAATAATGCTCCAGCCTGTGGCATGTAGTAGGAGGAGAAAATAATGGCTGTCTCCTTTTATGGGAATTATGGAGGTTGTTCAGAAAATATCTGAACCAAGTGGCTGTTTTGTTTTTGAAACCAGCAGCTTTCTAAATGGCTACAAGCTTGATGAATAATGGTTTTGATTACATTTCTTCCCTGCTCACGCGGAGAGAACAGAATCACCTTAATGATTCAACAGTGTTTAAATTTATTTTTCTGGATGTGCAATGTCTGCCCATTTGAAAAACAGGTTGTCTATAGTGAAGAGGTTCCCTTGGTTTTTGAATAGAAGATGAACTTCTATTATTTCATTATGTAATGAGTATTGAAAATTACTTTTGTTTTAGTCAACAACCTTTGTCCCCGTTGACCTGATTCCTGTCATCACAATTTTCTGTACAAATGTTTCCATGTAAAATCAAATATTCTCATCCGCTATGTGGTGCGATGTGATATGAATCTATCAATATTTCTGGCACTTTGTTATTTTCTCAGCAATTTCATAAGTTATTTCATTCTAAAAGTGAGTAAATCTAGTATGCATTTGTTTGTTTTCAAATGATATTTTACAGGAAGAGTCTTTAGTTAGTTAATTGAATAGTCAAGGAACTACCTGCTACACGTCATATTTCGACTGAAATGTTGACAAGCCATTGTCCCTCAAATTGACCAAGCAACGTCCTCTAATGGTGTGTATTGTCGGGGTGGCAAAAGAAGAGAGATCTTGATATAACTTGTCAGAAGACTGCAATTTCTGGCTTCAGATACTGTTTCTGCGTGTGCCCAATCGGGAGAGAGAGGGAACAGACAGTTTGTTGACCATTTGAATCACTATACTCACCTGCTGGGTGTGGGACACAACTTGAATTTCGGCAGTATACTTGATGATTTTTCATTTTTTTTATTTGAATGATGTTGATCAGAACTCTTATTTATTCCAATATTCATTTACTGATCGATTCAGAATATTTAAAATAAAAGCATTAGAAAGCTAAACCTAAAATCAGAACTGCATAAAACTTGCTGATGTTTGTAATTATTTCAAGTAAAGCCTGGATATGATAAAACACCATGTACCTAAGCAAATACCTCCCTGCCCAAACAGCCAGTTTATGTTCCTACTAATTTTGATATAACTTGTTTACAAATTCATTGGGTAAAGCATGTTGACCTACAGTTGGACCTCCCACTTCCTTTGCCAAGATTATCAGAGTGCCTGTCTTTTTAGATTTATTTCTAATTATGCAAATAATTTTACAAGCTAAAACTTCTTCAAAGTGTGTATGTATACTGTTCTTGATGTAGTATCTGCTTTAGTCTAAAAAGCCATGGCTTGTCTCTTAACATTCAAGAGGACTAGAACACCGGTCCTGAATTTTGTTTTAAATTTAAATTAAATTAGGGAGTTTCAAGACACAATTGTTTTTAGTGAAACCAAGTGCACTTCAGATGTGGTAATTCTCCCTTTGCAAATCTGAAAGTGTGATGTTCGGTTACTTGAAAACATCAGGTAAACCTGGATCCATCCTTAACAGGTGTGAACATAATCCCTTCATGCTAGAATAAATGAATAAGCACTGGGACTTTGTGTGCAATTCCCTAGTCAGGGATACTGATTTTAGCACTCCAGTGGAATCAGTGTTTTGCAGCACCCCAGAGCAGTTGTGCTCCTCCTGAGCTTTTAGAGGAAAGCAGGGCCCCAAATTTGTCAGCTTCCTGTTAAACTCCGTGTTTTTCCAACTTGATTCCTCACCTTGCCTTCAACATGGTATGAAAATAAACTTTTAATAAAATCTTACTATACAATGAAGTGCAAAAAACCTTTAAAACCAGTTTATTTTTTAAAAATTTAGAAAATTAGATCTTTTGGGATATGAGAACAGAAATTTCTATCTAATACAAAAACATGACCTGGAATTCAAATCTTGAGTGTTGTAGCAGCAGCCTTTCTACTTTTCTGTTTCATGTTGCAACAGTGCAAGATTATATATTTAAGTTTTTCATGTATGCTTCTATATGATAGCTTACTTTTAGAGGATTCTGATGATGACGAAGGTGATATCTGCCGTATATGCCAAATGGGAGCTGGAGCTACAATACCTCCAAATCCTTTAATACAGCCATGCAATTGCACTGGTAGCTTGCAGCATGTTCATCAGGAATGCATGAAGAAATGGCTGCAATCAAAAATAAACTCAGGTAATACGGGCATTTAGATGAGCAGTATGGTAGCCAGAGAGTATTCGGTTTTAACTTATTCCTCGCTGCAAGGTGGGTCAATGCCTCAGATTTGGGCTGAATTTTCAAAGTTACTTGCCAAAAGTATTTCCAAAAGGCTTGTCTTTCCTTGATCGTACTTTACCAGCTACTCTTAAAATTGCATGTCCTCCCTGTGGCTCAGGTTTCAATATCTAATAGAATGGAAACATAGAAAATAGGAGCAGGGCAAGTGGAGAGACAAGCAAACTGTCTTCTCAGCTTTGTTAATAGGGACATAGAATGCAAGTCCAAGGAGTTCATTTTGAACTTATATGAGACAATTGTCATGCCTCACCTGGGGAATTTTGTACAGTTGTGGGTCCCACGTTATAGGAAATACATTGGAGAGGGTGCAGAAGCACTATACAAGAGTGCTTCCAAAAATGAGAAACGTCAGTCATGAGAATAGATTGAAGAAATTAGGACTGTTTTCTTTGGAGAGAAAAGGGCTGAGAGGAGATATGGTAGAGATTTTCAAAATCATGAGCAGGCTGGACACAGTAGGTAGGGAGAAGCTGTTCCCGTTCATAAAAGAAAAAGAATGTGAGGGCGTAGATTTAAGGTGTTCTGTGAATTAAGCAAGGGTGACATGAGAAAATCTTTCACACGAGGTATGGAATGCACCACCTGGAAATGTGGTGCAGGCAGGTTCGCTTGACACATTCAGGAGAGCACTGATGATAATTTGGATAGAAATGGTGTACAGGAATATGGGGCAAAGTCAAGAGATTGTTCCTGCACTAGTTCTATTCCTTAATACCAATGGGTCAAATGGCCTCCTTCTGCACTGTAATAGTTCTGTGAGGAGCAGGAGTTGGTCATTCGTCCCTTCGAGCTTGCTCGGCCATTCAATAGGATCATGGCTAATCATCCAACTTAATGCCCTGTTCCTGCTTTCTCCCCACACTTTGTTTCCTTTCACCCAAAAATCAATATCGCCCTTGAAAACAAATGCTGAGATGTTGGTCCTTTGATTTTTTTTTTTTCGTCCCGTATGTTTTCAAACGTACGGGCTTCAGGTGCTGATAAGAAGTAAATTTTCTCAATTAAGAAAGAATACTTGAAGGAAAATCCCTATGGATTTGAACTCTGTTGTTTGATGGCCATGTAGCAGATTGTTTGTCTGCCTGCCTGCCTGTCATTTGCTTTTTGAAGGTTCCCTCTTGATTAGGATTCATGTGAATTGAGAACTAAATTGCAACTGGCATTCACATCGTTTTTGATTTGCGTCATCTCTGAGGTGGTAATTATGTAGAAACTGTCCAGGATTGATTGCTGTCTGACGCAGTATAAATTGATGAAGGAGTAGCATTAATTGGCCTATTCATGTACTTCATGTGAATGGTAACTATGAAGAATGACTGGGAAATGTGTGTTAAGGCATGATTATATTGCATTACAAACTAATAAATATATAACCAAGCATGTTAAATAGATATTGTCTTCTAAAATCAACACAGGTGCTGATTTGACTGCTGTAACCACCTGTGAATTGTGTAAAGAGAAGCTGCAGCTGGATTTTGAAGATTTTGATGTTCATGAATTGTATAGAACACATGCAGATGAACAGGTAAGTATAGGTTTGTGTAGCCTTTTTAATTGACTGGCTCCAATGTATGCAAATATCAAATGTAATTGTTAGATTATTTGTTTCATGTTATGAAATCCATTATTGATCTTGGAAAGATATTCACTTTATATTGTGATAATTTTAGGGATCTATTTAGCTCTCAATTCTCTGGAACGGTTGTAAGCGCCACGTTTTAAAAGTTGCTGTGTCTCTTTCTCTCATGCAAGGAACTTGGTTCTGTTTGAGCAACAGTCTTGTTGGGCAATGGTCAGGATTTTGAAAATTCCCTATTCAGGTTTCCTATCTGTTGTATCGGTTTTAGTGTTCAATTTACTATTTCATGCAAATCTTCCTTTTGAAATGTGGTCCTTGTTATCCATCCTCTAAATACATATTTGAAGACCTTTTTTTCAGACCAACTGATGCAATAGTCTATTTGCAATGAAATACTGATGGTTGGGTATAGCTTTACAATGAATTAGTGATGGTTTGAGAGCAACTCTTCGATGTGTCAGTGGGCTATTATGAGTGTGAGTTACAGGGAGGGAAGATAAGTAAAGAGGAAAAAAAATACTCCGCAACCACGGCTAGTTCAAGTGTTCTGATGTCTATAAGTTTATTTAATGAGTATCTGAGACATCAAGACCAGGGGAGTACTGTTTTAATGCTTGATCAATGCTGAACTGGCTAACTTCTGCTAGAGTAAGGGCATTTCACACTATCTCAAAAGCCTCTGGGGCACTACAGTTAATATCAATATCCCAGAGTGGGGAAGAAGGAAATTGGCCAGAATTCTTATCCTGTGTTATGCAATGCAAGCATTACTGTTTGATAATGCATATATTTGCAAAATACCAATACCAGATAGCTACCACTAATTTGCTGATGGATGTGGGAGAATGGTCTCAAAGAAAAGATAATCCAACTTGAATGGCAAAATCTCTATTGTAGATGTTTTTTAATCAGCCTGTTCAGACACGTCTGGTGTAGGTGACACTCGAACCCAGGCCCACTGGCCCACAAGTAGGGACATTACCACTGCTCCACAAGAGCTCTTTGTATTTATTTGAATGACCTATGAATATAACAATTGTACTTGTGCATGCCGGCGGTTTGGAATAATCTAACCTGTCATAAATAGATATTTGAATTATTTCTCCTGAGTGTCAAGTGAACTTTTCCAGATGATCAGCAGAAAAGAAATGCTGTAGCATAAATGGTGTTGCACAGTTTCTAGAGAGTTTTCAGGAATCTTCTGCAGTAATGACAAACAACTGGAGCAGATAGAAGGAGCTGAACACTATTTCTACCTGCAAGAATTGCCGTGTAAATCTGGCTGAATCCGACAATCGGAAATTCACTTTCTCTTGCTCTAAGGAAATATTCTCTCTTTTTAAATTTCTGCTTCAATCCCATAGATCTATTGGATTTTAAAAAAACACACAATAAATATACAGTTGCAAACAAAGAAAATACTCTAATACGTATTCATGATTCAGCGTTAATACTGTCTCACTTTTTGGGCCTTTTAACAACTGCTTAATATCAGACTGCCACTAATTTTTAGTGAACAAAGATGGTTAAACTCAATAAATCTTTGTGTGTTTGCTGATCAGTGATATGGATTTTTAATTTTAAGGTTCTGTGTATGTTTTTTCACAATTTATTTTAGGCACAGTATGAATTCATCAGTTCTGGTCTCTACCTTGTTCTGTTACTTCATCTGTGTGAACAGAGATTTTCTGATATGATGGGTGGTGCAAGTGAATCACGGACTAGACTTCGGGTAAGTGATTAAGTGAAATATGGAATACAAAAATAACTAATCTGAAGAGTAGAAACTTAGAAACACGATTATAACGTTTTGTCTAATAGAAAAAAACATCTTAGAATCCCTACAGTGTGGAAACAGGCCCTTCGGCCCAACAAGCCCACACCAACCCTCAGGGAATCCCACCCAGACCCGTCCCCCTATAACTCTTCTAATCAACACATCTCTGAACACTATGGTCAATTTAGCATGGCCAATCCACCTAGCCTGCACATCTTTGGACTGTGGGAGGAAACCGGACCACCTGGAGGAAACCCACGCAGACATAGGGAGAACGTGCAAACTCCACACAGACAGTGGCCCGAAGATGGAATTGAACCCAGGTCCCTGGCGCTGTGAGGCAGCAGTGCTAACGTGTTTAATTCTTTTGAACATTGACAATGTGTTCTTTGCATCAGCTTAACTCTTTCTGTGTAACTGATTGCATAACTGTTGTCAGCTCAAAGGCAAATAGCATAAATAACCAAGTCACTTCAATGCTTTGTCACTGTGGGGTAGCTATTTTCTGAAATTAAATTATCTGCACTGCAAGGTGGGCAAAAAGTGAAGCAATCACTTAATTTACTTTAATGCGAACAAAGGGATTTAAAAAGCTTAAGATTAAATATGACTTGCTAGCTTCTTGATCCCTTATTTATAAAGTTGTAGACTGTTTGTTTGAGTTTCATGTGAAAACTAATAGTTTGTGTAAATAGTATCCGAAGAACCAGCTCAGCTACTATTTTGGATAATATGAGGAAGTGGCTCACCAATGCAAGGTTCATTGGTGGTGCAGTTTTAAACAAATGATACCAATTCAGCACTGCAGAACAAGATTATCTACCAACTGGATGGTGTTGTATTTGAGAGTTGTACTGCCCCTTTTGTTCCCCCCCTCTTTGGTACATGGGTGAAGCCAGGTATTTGGTTTTGACGTTATCCACTTTTCTTACAGTTCATCCATCTGGCAAGAACCCTTCAGCAGCACATACAAGATCTTGAAAGTAGGTTTTTGAATACCCTTTAGGGCCCTAAAATGTGGTTGATCCATTGGTCTTTATTAGAATTGTACTGTATTTTCAGTCTGTGAAAACTGAATGTATTGGCATGCTACTCTGGAAGTCCAAGCGCAAGAACATTTCAGAAAGTCATAATCCCAAATGCTAAAAGTCAACACTAAATATGTAAAGTTGTCTTCCTTTAAAAATAAATTGAGTACTTTTATTGACTGAAAAGATAGTAGATGTGTGCAACAGGTTTCAAAGACATCTGCCATAAAATTCAATGATTTACAATGAAGCACTATTGATACAGTTCAAATATTTGTATTTGACCCCATTTTACAGTATGAACTCTTTAGAAGAGGTCAGGAACATGTGTTAGTCCAACTCCTGATTCCAAGTAACTACTTTCTGATATCTCAAATCATTCAGATTTTACAAGAAGCTAAAACATCAAGGAATTCTATTTCATTAATAAATTATTGGCACAATGATTTTTCTGCCACATACAATTATCATGTGGTCTCTGAAGTTTACTAAGTCAATATCAATCTCTTTTCTTGATCAATATTTCTACCCCTAAGTTACTTGAGAATGCAATTGTAGCTCAGCTAGTACTCAATCATATTAAGGTGAGTCAGTATCTTTTTCAATTACCTGTGTTCTGGTATGTCTTTTTAGTAATTAATTTGTTGCAATGCCTTTTCTATTTGGGAAGGTAATGGTAATGTCACCGGGCTAGTAATCCAGAGGCTCAGGCAACTGCTTTGTGTAATGGGTTCAAATCCGACAGCAGCTGTGGAATTTGAATTTGATTAATAAATCTAGAATATAAAACTAGTTTCAGTGATGTCCATGATGACTATCATCAATTTTCTTTAAAAGCCTTTAGATTCAATCATTTCCTTTCCTTCTCCTATCTTTACCTTGTCTCCTACATGGGATTCCAGAGATACAGTAGTTCCAACTGACTCTAAACTGCTTTCTATAATGGTATAGGAAGCCACTCCATTTAAGGGCATTTAGGAGTGACTTGCGTGCACACATACGTCCCTTTGATCATCCCAAATAAACAGAAGTAGGGATTTCTTACTGGAGTTACATAGAGTCTTGGTGAGATTTGGTCTCCCTTAGGTGGGCAAGATGGGATAAACTTGCCGTTGAGGGAGTGCAGCTAGGCACAAGGCTGATACCAGGGATGAAAGAACTACAGCATGATTAGAGATTGGTTTGACTTGGCTTGATTTCATTAGAGTTTAGAAGGAGGGTATCTGATTAAAATGTATAAAATTCTAAGAACTAGACAGACTATATTCAGGGAGGATGTTTTCCCTGTTGTGGAGTCTAGAACCAGGGGGCACAGTGAACCGTTTAGGCTGAAGTGAGGAACAAATCCTTCATTCGAATGGAGCATTGAAATAGAGGATTAGCCATGATCATATCAAATGACAGAGCAGGGTTGACAAGCTGAATGGCCTACTCCTGCACATTAGTTTCTGTTTCTATAACTGGCTTTTCTCTATTTGAGTATGCACCTCCGTGTAAATGATTCTTTCATAGTGCTTGTCAGCAGAGGTGGTCCATCTTGCTGTTGCTTCTGAACCCAAAAAGAGGAGACACCTCAGTTTTTCTTTCAGTGAACTCTGTTCCATCCTCTTTTCTATTCATGCTTTGATGGCTTGCATCACCTGTAGTGCACTTGAATAGACGTTTAAGCGCATAAATAGAGTTTCTGCAGCACTTCGAGCAAAATAACGTACTGAAAAGTAGTAGTTCCAAAGAATTTCCCAGTCAGAATAGTTTGGGAAATCCTGAAATGGCTGTCATAGCTGTTGATGGCTCATCCCATGTCAGCCTCTTGGCTAATATACTGGAGAAGCAACCATGGCCTGCAGCGCTATACTCCTAACAAATAATCAATGCCTTCTGGAGAGGGAAATGGAATTACTTAATAGGAAAAGGTGGAGGGAAAAACAGTTTTAAAAAGCTTGTTAATGCATTGGTTCTTTTCAAAAATAAAACTGCCATTCTAAGTTTTATTTTCATTATCATTAATTGTCCATCCTCATTAATTGTTGGCATTAATATACTGGCATTTATAAAAGCTATATTTAATAGCACTAATAATGGGCCTGAATAATTTGATCAGCTGAAGTTCACTGTTTGATAGCACAGTTTAATTTTCCTCCTAAACATATACTATTTTTTTCTTACATTGGGAACAAAGCCACTTGCAGCAATACTAATTAAACAAAGAAATTGAGAGTGGGCTAACATTTTATCAGAAACGGAAGTGGACCAGCTGTATAACAACTGGGCAACAAGACCAGAGCAGATCAGAAACAAAGAATTCTGCAACAACTAACTTAGGTCCTGATTCCCCAAAGCCCAGCAAGGCACAGTTCAGAAAAATGATGGAATACTGTCCACTTGCCTGGATGAGTAAAGCTCCAACAACACTCGAATTTCAACACCATCCAGGAGAAAACAGCCCACTTGATTAGCACCTGCATCTAACACCTCAAACATGCATTCTGTACACCGCTGACACTCAGTGGCAGGAGTATGGACCATCTAGAAGATTCACTGCGGCAACTCACCAAAAATCCTTCAACAGTACCTTCCAAATCCATGATCTCAACCGCCTAGAAGGACAATGATGCTGCCAGTGTAGGAACACCACTTCATGCATTTGGGAATGGGCGAGATCCCTATCTAATAAAAGAATAGCTTTTTAAAAATGTCATGAAATCTTTGAGCTTTGAATCTATAAATAAGACATTTTCCTTTATTATAAGTAATGCTTGGTAGTATGTAAACAGTGCAGTGAACACATCAATTTAAAGTTTTTGTCAACTGTGATGGGTGCATTCTCCATGGCAATGCCTGTATTAATCATAGTCCACTTGCCAGTGAATCAGCACACTCTTCTCCAGTAGTATAAATGTTGCTTTTCCCCTTGTATTTGATATTCTTGTGAATTGTCCTGGTAAGTGTAAGACAAAAAGCTTTGACAAAATCTGTTTCTTCCCCAGCAAATAACAAATTGTTTTTGTTATAATTCTTGGCATAATCTGGCTTACTTAATAAAAGTTGTCCAATAGCAGGATCCCTTCTCATGTTGGACACTATGAACTACATTTTGCAAGCATTGTCTGGTTTAACACTATCAGCTTGCTGCCTGTTGAAGTCAGTCTGAAGGACGCGTTTGTAGTTCACCAGTTGGAGATCTACCAAGAGCTTTGACTTTGAATCTATTACTTTAAATTTAAACATTCCCAGAAGAAAATATGCCATTCTCAGTTAGCAAAATGAAAATGTTTATCCATTTACAATTGCACAAATTTGTCAAACCATTAAAAAAAAAACTAGGACAGAGTCCAATTTTGGCACCATTCTATTTTGGAATTCACTTGGATGGAATCAAACTCTAATTGTTAGATTTTATAACAAGCAATGATAAACAAATGCTTTAGGTATGCATTTTCTAAAATATGAGCCTTCAGGTAACGAAATTAAGAAAAACCAAGCAAGTTACAGTCAGCATGGATCAAGTGGGAGTGATGGCATCAAAAGAAGCTCAGTTTAGATGCTAAACATTAGTGGCAGTGGCAGCCCAGAATGATGTGGAGGATGTTATTTGTCCGATAGCCCTCAGTAATTGACAACTTCGCAGATCATACCAACTGTAATTGGAGGAATGGCTTGACTGCTGGAGAGTTAGAAATGTGACTGAACTCATGCCTACCTTTACATCCCCCAGCTCTGTCATTCGCTATTAGATAATCTGCATCCATCTGATAAGAGCTCTTGTTTCAGTAGAAGATTTAGTGATTTTACTTTAATTGCTAATGTGATGCTTCATTAGCTTCAAGCTTTTGTGTTGCAAAGGTGTCCTGGTGAGGCAAAAAAGTGGGGTGCCACTGTCACTTCTGTGTCTGTCAAAGTGCTGCTAATCGTTTTCTCCCTGCATCTCTAGTTACAGGCAGTTGCTTTTGTGTATTTGCTGCCAGTACACTCACTCGCTCCAATCAGGCTCATTATGTTAATGACACATGGTACCTGTAATAGGAGAAGCAGCACACCGCTGATTCTGTGACTTCCATGTACCAGGGTGACTTTCTTCCCATTGATCGTCTTTTGTCCTGTGATTACACTTTCCTGCTTACTTTAAGGAGCCTTCCCAGGCGAAATTGCCTGCCTCCCTGTCACCATGTATTTTGACTCTGCTTGAAGCAGTATGTACAGTGAAATACCAGCACAATGAACAGGTTGAAAGAATTGAATCGGAGATAGTAGGAACTGCAGATGCTGGAGAATCCGAGACAACAAGGTGTAGAGCTGGATGAACACAGCAGGCCAAGCAGCATCGTAGGAGCAGAAAGGCTGACGCTTCGGGCCTAGACCCTTTATCTGAAAGAATAGTATGGATAACAGGGTAAGCTTGCATTCAAAGTTGACAAACAAAGCTGTAGGCAGTTTATGTGCCTTTAATTGGATTTTAAAATCTTGTGTGTGAGTTCTGTTTGTTGTGTGAGATTTCCAGTATGAAGTTCAAACATGGCAACACCCGTACCCCAAACACTGGCACCTCCTTGAGTACATCATCGTCAGAGTGAGGGATCAGAGAGATTTTAAAATCGCCATCCACTGCTGGACGGACCATTGCCTGATCTGAGCCAGGATCAACATAAATATAGTCCCGCTGCAGCAGAGACAACAGAAGCAGTGCCACAAGAAGCTAAACATTGAGGCATTCAGAGACCCAAAAAAAATAGCCCGATACAACCACTCCTTTCCACAAACCTAGCGACCCTTGACACCAAGTCGAAGGCTTTCAACAGCCTCTGGTCTGCGCTCAAGACCGCCATCATCAATGCCTGCAAAAATTTGGTCGGTCACTCAACCAGGAAACACCAAGACTAGTTTCATGAGAATTATGAGGAGATCCAAGAACTGATAAGCTGGAAGCGCATGGCATTTCTGAATTTAAAACAACCATCGCACGCGGCAGAGAAAAAGGCAGGTCTACAGGTGACTGAAGGCTGAGGTCCAACAACAAACCCATGACATAAAGAACAGGTAGCAGGTGGAGAAAACACTGGAGGCCCAATGAAAGGGCCACAACCATGGTATGCAGGGTTTCTTCTGTGCTGTCAAGCCTACTTAGGGACCAATCAGCCAAGGCCCCACCTGCTGCCAGCCAAATACGAAGTGACTCTTATCAAAGACATGCTATCAAACAACATGGAGGGGGAGCACTTCAGAGACCTCCTCAGCCAGGGCTCTGGTTGATCTGAGCATCCTTGAACGCATCTCACAGCAAGTTTCACACCAGAAGCTCAGCAATATCCCAGCCATGCACGAAGTAAAGAAGGCCATCCGCCAGCTTAAGAATAAGGCTATTAGAGCAGGCGGTCTCCTGGCTGAGGCATTGAAGTGTGGAGGCAAAGACTCCTGCTGCAGCTACACCCCCTTGTCTGCCTTATCTGGAAGGAAGAGAGCATCCTGGGAGAGCTCAGAGATGCCACAGTCGTAAGCATTTTCAAAAAAGGGAAACAAGTCCAACTGTGGTAAATACAGGGGAATTTCCCTGCTGTCGACTGTTGGAAAAGTCATCGTCAATGCCCTCCTCAACCATCTCTTCCCTGTGGCTGAGGAACTCCTCCCAGAATCGCAGTGTGGCTCTCAACCACGGAGAGGCACAATGAACATGATTTTCACTGCATGACAGCTGTGATAGAAATGAAGAGTAAAGAACCTACCCCTGTACATGGCCGCCTTCGAGCTTACAAAGGCTTCCTCCTCCACTTTGGTTGCGCCATGAAGTTTGTCATCATCCCTTTGCCTGTTTCACAACAGCATGGAAGTTGTGATTTATGACAAATGGCTCCACCACTACCCAGTCCCCATTCGGGCTGATGTCAGGCAGGGTTGCGTCATCACCCCAACACTGTTCTTGATCTATCTTGCTGCAATGCTTTGCCTCACTGCCGACAAGCTCCCTGCTGAAGTGGAGCTAACTTAGAATCAGTGGAAAATTATTCAATCTCCTTCGAGCCAAAACCAAAGTTACCCGAACCAGTGTCGTGGACCTGCAGTATGCGGATGATGCTTGCGTATGTGCAACCTCAGACAATGTACTCCAGACCATCATCAATACCTTTGCGGAGGCAATGAGAGCATGGGTCTCACCCGAACATCTGTAAGATGAAGGTTCTTCACCAACCTGATCTGGCATTGTGGAATGAAGTCTGATCATCAAGGTCCGTGGGAAGGCCTTAGAGAACATTAACCACTTCCGATACCTTTGTCAAAGCAGCTATTCACGAAGCGAGCTAGTGCAGCCGTCGGTGGTCTGAGGAAAAGGGTGTTTGAGACCAACATCAAATCCGAGAGCAACATCATGCTTTACAGAGCTGTGTTTATTCCTACCCTCCCACATGGCTCTGAGATGTGGACTGCCTACAGCAGACACATCAAGGCGCTGGAGCAGTACCATCAATGCTGCCTGCGCTAGATCCTGCAAATCCACTGGGAAGAAAGACGCACCAACACCAGTTCTTGAACAGGCCAGCATCAAGGCACTGACTACACTTGATCGACTGCAACAGGCTTGGTATGTCATTTGCATGACCAACAGGAAACTCTCCAAGCAGGTGGTCTGCTCCCAGCTTCGAAATGGCAGGCCAGCCCCAGGTGGACAGAGGAAGCGCATCCTTGATACCCTCAAGGCCTGACTTGTAGAGTGCAACATTCCTACAGACATCTGGGAATCACTGGCCCAAGACTGTCCGAAGTGGAGGAGGAGCATCCTGGAAGGTGTCGAGCACCTCAACTTGCCATCAGGGAAAAAGCAGAAGCTGGGCGAAAACAACGATAAGGGCGCACTGCCACACCAACGCCCCACCCTGCCCTTCTCATGACCACCTCCTGCCCCAAGTCTGACAGAGCTTGTGGAAGCTGTATCAATCTGTACAGCCATCGACAGCCTCACTCTGAGATTGGAAGAGAGTCATCCTTGTCTGCTAGGGACTGCTAATGATTAAGTTTAGCTTCATGATTCCTTAACATATCAGTAGGTAATGGTTTGTTCTCATAGACCCTTGTCTGTTCACCTTGCTGGATTAACCTCAAGTTCTTTGTGGTGAGAGAAAGTTGACAAATCTAATACCTTAATATGTTAGATTTCCAAAAGATCTTCAATGTAGCACATCAGGTTAATAAAGAAAGTCAGAACGCAGGAGTAGAGGGACAAGTAGCAGAATGGATGGCTTGCTTAAAAGCAGGAAACTCAAAGTAGCAGTAAACAATATCAATAGATTGGCCGATGGTGGAAAATGGGGCTGCATGAAGATCAGTACTGACACTACTGTTGATCACAATTTGTTAGCAATTTAGACTTTGAAATCCAAAGAAATTTAAATTTGCAGTTGAAACCAAATTGGGTGAGACTACCAATGTGGAAGGATCCAACTAATTAGAGGAAGTCATTAATAATTTTCCAAATAGGGTATACAATTAGAAAATGAATTTCAATATAAATTGTATGGTCTGAAATTTGCTATTCATGCATGTAAGATGAAAATCTTTAGTAACATGTCTTCAACATTGAAGTTGGATTAGAATAGTTGGGAGGAGATTGAAATGCAGCAATAAATGCTGGATGGACTAGTTGGACACAATTACTTTGTTTCCTGAACTATATATTCTCTGTTTGGACCGTAAAGCT